AACTGTTTCTTGCGATAGGATCTGAGATGTAGGCCTTGGGGGGAGGGGGCAAACTGAATTGCTCAACTATTTCAACAAATTAAAAATTTATCACATAGAAGCAATAGAAAAATAAGAATATTAAAACAATCACAGAACAACTACAAACACAAGAGATTTTATAATGGTTTGGGTACATCAACTTTTCCTTCTCTCGAAGAAGCTTCTACACTAAATGATGTTGTTCACATGGATTAACAAACCCTAATCTAACAGGTTTTACAAGACTGAACCCTATATAACCCTAATCTAGTCATCTAAACCAAACAACCTATCAAAGTGTGAGCAGGTTCATAAATCTCCTCTCATTTCATGGGATAAAGCTTGCTTGCACAAGAAATTTGGAGGGCTAGGCATATACTCTGCTTCTACATGGAGTATAGCTTCAACATTGAGGTTACTCTGGAATATACATGTTAACAAAGAAAATCTATGGATCAAGTGGATTCATGGCACATATTTGAAAAATTGTGATGTTTGGCACGTTCAGGCAAAAAAAAGTGATTCGTGGATGTGGAGACAGATCTTGAAGGTCAGAGACAAAGCTCAGGGACAATTTGGAGGTGTTGATAATCTGATTCAGGCCATCTGTTCTTGCTACAAGGATTCAAAAATAAAACTTTCTGATTTATATGCTGCACTCTCCCCTACATCTAATTTGGTGCCTTGGTTTGGCACAATATGGGTGTCCTCAAATTACCCCAGACATGCTTTTATTAGCTGGTAAACAGTCCAAAACCGTTTGCTTACCCAGGACAGACTGATCAAGAGGGGGGTTGTAAACATAAACAACTGTTGTTTATGCTCTGGTTTTGAATGCAGAGACCATCTTTTTTTCGAATGTTCCTATTCTAGTGATATTTGGGCCAAGGTCATGAATTGGTTACAGTTCAGATGGAGATCGAGCAATTGGAATCAAGTTTTGAATTGGTTCTGTTACAGGTTGAGGGGGAGGGGCTTTAAACAAAAGCTAAAGAAATTGGCTTTTACCTCAACAATTTATAACATATGTAATGAGAGGAATGACAGGATTTGCTGACCAAGTGTTTAAGGAGATAAAATTTAGCATTTTAGCTATTGTTCTCAATGGACATTTTACTGCTGAAAATAGAGAATGGGTTTGTTCTCTGTAGCTTTGAGTATGAGAGATGTATTAGTAGAATAGGATTTTTTTTTTTTTTGTAATTCTCAGTTCAAGCTGAGAATCTTGATGTACTGATTTTTCACATTTGGAAGATGAATAAATACCTTTTTCATTGACTAAAAAAAAACCTATCAAAGTGTGTAACCTACCACTTGCTGGTAACCCTAACCCTCAATTATCACCGGCGTGAGTACGCTATACGAGACCAATTATATGATCGTATAGAAAGTTTAAATCAACAAAAAAATATCATTCATGCACAACTAAAAAGATCTTAGAGCCTATTTTGTAACGAGATCATTCTCCTTGATGGTCTAAGTGGAGATACATAAGATAGACGCTAAAGATGACCAAAACAACACCGCTCAATGTTGATTGATTAAATGATGTAGCTTGCGATGAGGAAGTGATTATGAAGCTTGGGGGAATGAAAAAAAAAAAGAATCTTTCAATCAAAGTTCTGAAAACCCCCTCCCTCCCACCCTCCCCCTTTTTTCCTATCTTGATTATGTCAGTGTTGTGTGTGAAATAAAATGTGTTGTAAGTGCTTAATTTGCTCTCCCCCCCACCCCCACCCCCCAAAGGTTAGTGTTGTGTGTGAAATAAAATGTGTTGTAAGTGCACAACCAAGTTATAGTGTAGAAAATGTTGAACTACATGGAGGATATTAATTTTTGAAAGTTTTGAATTGAAAATTTTCTTTTTGAAAGTTATTTGAAAAGATGTTTTATTATGAAAAGGTATTGAAGAAGTGGTTTTGGATTTTTGATAAGAAAAAAAGAAAATAGAACTAGAAAGAGGGACATAAGAGAGAATATAAATACAATTGAGAAAAAAATAAAACCATAAATAGAACAACAAGAGAAAAAGATTTAACTGATTTTGTTATTATTGGGAAAATTTTCTGTGATGTTTGCTAAACTTGTGGCTCACGTGAAAATGGAAACGTACTAGTGCTTCTTTTAAACGTGGAACTTCACTTCGATGTTTCCAAGTGTTCATGCCTGCGTATGAGCGTCTATATATAGTTCCAACTTCTTGCTCAGTTCCTTCCAAGCTATATTTTCTTCCTCTAATTTCAACACCCCCACCCCCCCTCCTCCAAAAAAAAAATTATATAACTTAAGCTTCTCTTGTAATGGAAAAAGATGACGTTAACAACGTTCGAAGGTCCATCGACAATAACAATTCTATTAATGTCAGTCGTCGGTCAGCACACTATCAACCTAATCAATGGGACTACAATACCATCCAAACCATAACAAACAATTTCATGGTATGCACGGGCTAAGCATATCATTTTTTTCTTATTGTTTTCTAGTTGATTCTCATTTTCTTCCGTGTGTATTTCTTTCATTATAAATGTTAGCATCTTTACTGTCATAAATTCGAGCTCATATATTTTCTTAAAAATAGTTTTGCTTACCAAAATCACTTACCTTTTTATGTAGGAGGAGGCATATGGCCTTTCGGCTAAGGAGTTGAAGGTAGAGGTTAGGGCTTTGTTGACAGAAACTGACCCAGTAGTTCAAGTCAAGCTCATTGATTCCATCGAAAGGCTCGGATTGGGCTATCATTTTGTGGAGGAGATTGAACGACTCTTGAATAATATGCTTATAAGTGGTTATCACAAAGTGGTGCAAAAAGATGGCTTGCATGTTACTGCTGTCCTTTTTAGGCTTTTCAGACAACATGGCTTCATGATTTCGCAAGGTACAATAAGCCTATGCATAAAATACACAAAACTAAGATATTTTGTAGATAACCACCATTAATATGAAGTAGAAACACAAAAAGACATTTTGAAAGATAATTTAAAAAAAAAGACAGAACAAAAAGATTCAGGAACATAGATGCCAGCAAGAGGAAAACGAATGATAACAGACGAGATATTTTATTTTATTTTATTTTGGTCAATGAAAAATTTTTATTCATAACGAAAATGTGAAATTTGAGTATATCAAATCATTCCAGTTATAGCTGGAAGAACATCTCTATATTGTTTTTTACAATTGCTCAATTCTTTCTTTTATGTGAAAAAGAACATCATCATTGTGGATTTTAGAAAGAATTAGAAGCTTCACTGTCCGAAGCACAACTTTAAGCTCTCTTGTTTCTTGCTGAAAAATTCTTTGATTCCTTTCCTTCCATATAGCGTAAACTGTGACTGACAATGCCAATCTTTTAAGAACCCCTTACCTCTCAGTCTCATACTATACCATTGGATAACACACTCCCAGCTACAAGATTTCCATCTGAATTTCATCGAGTCCATAACTCTGTTCCAGATAGCGGCTGAAAATTCACATTCAAAGAAAAGATGTCTGCAGGTTTCTGGATTTTGATAAGTGCACAACACACAAATGTTTGTGTCAAGGATTCTCAAGTGACATAGCCTGTCTTTTGTTAATAATCTGGATTGAATAGCAAGCCAAAGGATGAAAGAGTGCTTAGGATATAGCCACTCATCCCAGATTGTTCTAGACCAAACAACAGGTGCATTTTGAAGTATGATTTCATTATAGATAGAAGATATCTGAATTTACCTCCCAAGCAGCACCTGGTGATAATATTTTGCACATTTGAAGCATTGCCAAACTTGAATATCATTTTATCTCTCACTTTAAGAACTTGCTTTCACATCCATGAATCGTTCATTTTAATTTGCACTCGCCAGTTATTTGACTGCCTCAGATAATGTCCATGAATCCACTTGATCCACAACAAGTCCTTCTTGAGATGTATCATCCAAAGGAGCTTCATGGCTTATGCAAGATTCCAGGCTCTAGCAGAGAAGATCCCCAAACCCTCATGCTCTTTGCTTTGACACACTACAGACCATGAGATCAGATGGATTTTATGATTCCACAAAAAATCAGAACAGAGACTGTCAATTTTTTCCAGAACTTTAACTGGGAGGACATAGTTGCTAGTCCAAAAAATTTGGATACCCAATATGACAGTTTTGATCAGGTACAATCTTCCTGCATAGGATAAAGCTTTCTTCTTTTGCCAGCTTTGAAATTGAATAGATATCTTGTTAATCAATGGAGAACAGTCCACATAAGATAGCCTCTTAGAGATTAATGGTACACCCAGGTATCTCACAGGCAGTACTCCTTCAGAAAAATTAAGGAGAGCACATATTTGAGCTTTTAAGTCATCACCAATACCACTCATATATATAGAGAGAGCATTTGCTAGGATTTGTTTCTAATCCAGAGACACAGCTGAAATCTGAAAGGCATTCCTTTAATCTTGTAATAGAGTATAGATCAGCTTTGCAAAAAAAGCAATAAATCATCAGCAAAAAATAGATGAGAAATTTTCAGCCTTGAACATGAGATATTTTATTTTTAGGGTTAAAAATGTAAAAAAATAATACATGAATTTTTTAAATAATTTAAGAGGAAGTTTGGTCTCACATGAGTTGCACGTGCCACTTCAGATGTAACGGTGTTAAACTTTGGGCGCTTTCTACAAAAGTTATTGGGGGTCTAATACAATTTTGAAAGTTATTGGTGGTTCACTCAAAATGCTAAAAGTTCCGGGGCCTAATTATATAAGTAAACATGGTATATCTAGTATAACTCAGAAGAGCAAGAACGAAATATCACCAATAATTAAAATAGAAGAAGAAATATGAAATTAAAGAAAATACCACCTAATTCAATATGTCATCTGCGTACCTTGAGAAACTAGCTAGTAATCCTTATTCACTGAACAATTAGCTTTAACGTATTCTGGGTCAATGCAGAACAAAGAATTCAAGCATTACTTCACTGATTCAAGAATCTTTTTCTTTCCATTCATCAGAAATTACCCAGTAGACAGATCACTGAATTGTTTCCACCAAGACGACCTTGTGAATTCTCTTTATTTTTGGAGTGCAGATATTTTTGACCACTTTAAGGACGTCAACGGTAGCTTCAAGGCAAGCCTTTCACATGATGCAAAAGGATTGTTGAGTTTATATCAAGCTTCTTCACCAATTAAAAGTGAATGGATCCATCTTAGATGAAACGTTTCAGATAGCCTGTCTTATAGACAAACTTCCCGAGTCCTGGTCAGATTTTGCCAAAAACCTTAACCATACCCAAGGAGATCTTACCCTAGAGCAAGTATTGAATTCTATTAGAATTGAAGAGCAACATAGACTCAGGGAGAAAAATGTGACAAAATCTGAACCCAAAGAACCCAAAGTAAACAATGTTGAATCCAAACCCTTTCCCCAACACAAGAAACGTCCCTTCCACCAAAATCAAAATAAAACATTTAAGAAGAAACCCTATCATCAAAATAAGAACCATGTTCACTTTCAAAAGAAGGAAGGAGCTGAACGTCGAGCCTGCTTCGTTTGTGGAAGAACCAACCATCTTGCTAAGGACTGCTTTTTCAAGAAAACTGAACCACCCAAGCCTAGGAAGGGAGGACCTCCACCTAATAAGTCACAAGTAAACATGGTGACTTCCAGTCCAGCTGAGGCTGCTTTCAGGTCTGTTCTCTTCACTCCTGAAGTAAACATGACCTTTCAAGCAAATGATTGGTGGATTGACACTGGAGCTAATATTCACGTTTGCTCTAATCAATCTTTGTTTTCCACCTATCAGGTCTCAAGTAGAGGAACTGTGACAATGGGAAATAATAATGTGGCTCCTGTATCCGGAATAGGTCGGATCAACCTAAAGCTGACTTCTGATAAGACTTTGATCCTGCAGGATGTCCATCATGTACCAGACATTAGGAGAAATTTAATTAGCGGATCTTTATTAGTGCAACAAGGCTACAAACTTGTTTTTGAATCAAATAAAGTTGTAATAACTAAGGGTTTGAACTTCATTGGAAAAGGTTTCTTATGTGATGGTCTTTTTAAATTGAATGTTAAGAATTCTACTCTTGCATCTCCAATAGCTTTGAATATTGAACCTTCCATCACTTGGCATCAAAGATTAGGACATGTGAATTATAATTCAATTAAAAGATTGATGCATCTCAATATAATTCCAAAGCTTAATATAAAAGATGATGAAAAATGTGAAATATGTGTAGAAGCCAAACTTCCTAAGAAACCATTTAAAACTATTGATAGAGATTCTGAGATATTAGAACTCATCCATAGTGATGTTTGTGATTCAGGAAGAACAACTAGAGGGGGTAACAAATATTTTGTAACTTTTATAGACGATTGCTCTAAATATTGTTACCTCTACTTAATTAAGACTAAAGATGAAGTCATAAACAAATTTAAAATATATAAAGCAGAAGTTGAAAATCAGTTGGATAGGAAAATTAAAATACTAAGATCAGATAGAGGTGGTGAGTACACTTCTAATGAATTAAAACAATTCTGTGAAGATAATGGAATTATTCATGAAATAACTGCTCCATATACACCTCAATCTAATGGAGTAGCTGAGAGAAAGAATAGAACACTAATGGACATGGTAAACTCAATGTTAATTAATTCTGGTGTGCCAGAAAATTTATGGGGAGAAGCTCTCATGACTGCATGTCATATACTAAATAGAATTCCATTCAAGAAATCTGATAAAACCCCTTACACAATTTGGAAGAATAGAAACCCTAATTTAGATCACCTAAAAGTGTGGGGGTGCTTAGCAAAAGTCAAAATACCTGAGAATAAAAGAAAGAAGATTGGCCCTAAAACTGTAGATGGAATTTTTATTGGCTATGCTTCTGATAGTAATGCAAATAGATTTTTAATAATCAACTCTGACATTAATGAGATAGCCAACAACACCATAATTGAAGCTAGGGATGCACATTACTTTGAAAATATTTTTCCTTACAAGACCAGAATAAACAACACAGGCCCTAGCTCTAATAATTCAGATCCTAGTTCTAATCAAGGTGAAACTAGTTCTAAACAAATTAGACCACTAGAAAGTCCAGAGGAGCCTAGGAGAAGTAAAAGAACTAGAATAGAAAAGGTCCATGAAGATTTCTATGCATTACTTGTAGAAGATTCTCCAGTTACATTTGAAGATGCAATGAAATCAGTAGATGCTCCATTTTGGAAGGAAGCTATAAATAATGAGATACAATCTATAGTTCAAAATCATACTTGGGAACTAACTGATCTTCCTTCAGGATGTAAAACCATAGGATGTAAATGGGTGTTTAAGAAGAAACTTAGACCTGATGGAACAATAGATAAATATAAAGCCAGATTAGTAGCTAAAGGATATACCCAAAAGTCTGGTATTGATTATTTTGATGTCTATTCTCCAGTAGCTAGGATTACTACCATTAGAGTCCTCATAGCTCTAGCATCCATTCACAAATTAATAATACATCAAATGGATGTTAAAACTGCATTTTTAAATGGAGACTTAGATGAAGAAATTTATATGGATCAACCTGAGGGATTTATAGCTTCTGGACAAGAAAAGAAAGTATGCAAGCTTATTAGATCACTATATGGTCTCAAACAAGCCCCAAAACAATGGCATATGAAATTTGATGAAATTATACTATCTTATGGATTTGTAATTAATCAAACAGATGAGTGTGTATACCATAAAATAGATAAAAACAACAAAATTGTGATATTATGCCTATATGTTGATGACATTCTTATTTTTGGTTCTGACATACAAATCATAAATGATATCAAACACTTTTTATCACAAAATTTTGACATGAAAGATTTAGGTCAAGCTGACCTAATTCTTAATACTAAAATCATGAAAAATGAGAATGGATATGTGCTATCACAATCACATTACATAGAAAAAATCCTCAAGAATTTTTATGATCCAAACTGTCAACCTGTTTCCACTCCATATGATCCTAATGTACATCTAAAGAAAAATACAGGTCATCCTCAATTACAAAGAGAATATGCACAAATAATTGGATCATTAGGATTCCTAACAAACTACACCAGACCTGACATTGCTTATGCAGTAAATAGACTTAGTAGATATACATCAAATCCTGATAAGAGTCACTGGGATGCTTTAGAAAGAATTTTGAGATACCTAAAAGGAACTATAAATTATGGTTTACACTATAAAGGTTATCCATCTGTACTAGAAGGTTATTCAGATGCAAATTGGATTAGTGACTCAGTAGATGTAAAATCCACCACAGGATTTGTGTTCCTTTTAGGAGGAGGAGCTGTGTCCTGGAAATCTACTAAACAAACTGTAATGGCTAGAAGTACAATGGAATCAGAAATGATAGCTCTTGATACTACTAGTATAGAAGCTGAATGGTTGAAAGATTTACTAACTGAAATTCCACTAATGCAAAAACCATTACCAGCTATTTCTATTCATTGTGATTGCAGGTCAGCGATTGACAAATGCCATCAAGAGAATGCAAATGTGAGGATGAATCGACACTTGAAAGTGCGACATAAATCCTTGAGATATAAGATGAAAAACCATATAATAGCCTTAGATTTTGTAAGATCAGAGAAAAATCTTGCAGATCACTTAACTAAAGGCTTATCTAGGGCAGTGGTCCTAGAATCATCGAGGGGGATGGGGTTAAGCCCATAAGAAAAATCACTGCAGTGGCAACCCAACCTCGCAGAGGTTCAATGGGTAGAAACAAACTGAATGAGTGATTAATTGTGAGGAGCACTGAATTCATTTGCTCCCATCCCTAGGGTGATCAGTGCTCATAAAAAGCAAGTGAAAGGTTGAGTCTAACTCTTAATGAATCCAAGACCCATGAGGCAGGATGCTTACTTGCTCGCATCCTTATTAGGATTCACCTATATGTGTGTAGTTGTGAGGCCGCGACTATGGGATCAGGGCTGCTCCCTAGTAACACACATGAAAGATACCTGCGCAAGGCCGATAATAGCGCAACCCGTTTAGAATTCTTCAAAACTGTACTATGTGTGCTTTCTGTAGAAATCCGATAAATGGGACTGGTTCAAGGCGAAGTCCACCAAGCTCTCACGGATCTATACAATTGTCACTAAGTGAAGGTTCAAACCGAAAGGTACCTCCACCTATTACATAGTATAAGAGAACCAGCAATCTTATTTATTTTTAAGTTCTTCTTTTATTGTTATTTTTGAAGTATTTTAAGTTTTAAGTTATGTGGGGGATTGTTGGAGTTATATAATAAAGATAACTTAAAACTTGGGCTTGTAGAGGAAAAGAGAAAAAGTTTAGTCCCACATAGGAAATAGGATAAAAAAAAGGGGTCTTTATAAGTCTTCCCTTTCTCTCCTATGCCTAGAAGAAAATAAAAGGTTATGCTCGACACCACACACGCGCGCGCCGGTCGGGCCGGGCTCGGGCTCGGGTTCGGGTCAGGTCGGGTGGCGCGCGCACACGACCTGCGGACACGAATGCCGCTCCGGATTAATGGGCCCTTAATCTGCTACATTTTTATTTTTGAATAATTAAAATGTAATATTTATTTTTGAATAATTAACATGTGATAAACATTTTTGTAACGGTTAGGATTAAATATTTTGTAACTGTTATAATTAAAATACCGCGGATTTATGGATTTAAATGACAAAAAACGGCTAACGTTAATACATTAATGGGTGAGTAATTAAAACGTGTTAATTACGAGATTATGAGTAACGGCTGTTTTTGTAATTAAAATAAATTAATTGCGGATTTATGAGTAACGGATGTTTTAAGCCTATAAAAGGACCTAAATCTGTAGAGTTTGACACAGTGTGAAAAACACAACGTATTCTCTCTTCCTCTCTGCTATTTCTCTTCATATTACTATTGTTACATTTTTGGTTCCCTGAAAGTCACGAAGAATTCACAAAGCCTTCTTGAAGCTCGTGCCGACGAGAAGGAGGTCGCCTGACCGAGGGTCGTTGTATCTCCGGGGACTTTTGCCGCGTAGCCCTGTACGAGAGGGGGCAATTAGTTTCTTGGGACAGTGCTTGCACGCCTCGACCATCAGGCTATATTCTAAACTCAGTTTAATTTTATATCTATTTTGAATCATTATCTAATTCTGTTAAAACTGCATTTTGTGCTAATTATACTCTAAACAGCTTATATTCCCAACAAAACCAAATACCATTCGGGAGGAAGGAGAGAGAAAGGGGAGAAAACAGAGTGTGAAAAAGTGTTTAGTATTTTTGTCATTTTGTTGATCAAACATGTGAGTCATAATCCCCTAAAGAAATAACCTTGTAATGATTCTTAAGTTATTTTCCAAAATTATCCACTCAATGTACTTACCAACATACAAAGTAGATTATAACCCAAAAAAATGGATTATAATCAATTTTTATCAAGTTGTCAAAACATTCCCTTATTACGGTAATCTATCAGATGATATTATTAGAGTAATCTATGATTCTTTAAATGCTTTCCTTTCAAGTATTGGGAACAATTAAAAGAAAGAAAGAAATTTTGGAAAATAGCCTATTATAAATATAAGAAATAATTACGAGAAGATGTAACATTCATCGATGAATATGGCTATTTCAAGCCTATATTTTTTGAACCATACCAAAATAACAAGGGGCGTATATTAAAGCACGCACAAGGAAAATATGAAATAAGAATTATTGAAATCCCTTCAAATATTGTATCAAATCCATATATTTTTATGGAAACTTTAATATTATGAAAATTAACTAATTACAATCATATTTTTCAGTAGTCAAAATTCTACATGTATTTACTTAGGGTTAAATTATCAGATTGGTGTAGTTAATTGGACCATAATCAATTCATCTTGTGTGTGTGTGTTTATGTGTGTGTATTGGACCATATTCAA